CTTCAAGTTTCCAAGAAATTCAGGGTTTGGATTCGAAGGAAGCTGAGCCATGGTTAAATGCCATGAAGGCTGAGCTTGATTCCTTAGAAAGGAACAAAACATGGGAGCTAGTTCCAGTAGTTCCAGGAATGAAACTGCTTGGAAGCAAATGGGTCTTCAAAGCGAAGACAGATCAAAATGGCAAGATAGTCAGACACAAAGCCAGATTGGTAGCCAGAGGTTTTGCACAGGTACCAGGTCAAGACTATCACGAGACCTATTCACCCACAGTGAGATATGAAAGCATTAGGCTTATGCTCAAGCTAGCTGCAGAGGAAAATCTACACATTAGTCACCATGATATTAATACAGCTTTTCTGTACGGATCTCTAGATGAATCACTTTATATGCTTCCACCTGATGGCGTACAGGTAAAACAGGGATTTGTTTGTGCTCTGAAGAAATCCCTTTATGGTCTCAAACAAAGTGCACGGTGTTGGCACACAAAACTCACTGAAGTATTGTTTTCTCTAGGTTTTCAGCAAGGGAAAGCTGATCCATGTGTATTTGTCAAAGAGGAGGGGCAAAAGAAATTGTACTGTTTGTTTTATGTTGATGATTTATTATTCTTTTGGAAAGATGTTGCAATGTACAATAACGCCCTAGCTCAACTGAAAGAGCACTTTGACATGAAAGATCTTGGTGAGGTAAACAACTACCTATCTCTGGAAATAGAGAGAGATCAAGATGGTAACATTCTAGTACACCAGTCACGGAAAATTGCTGATGTGTTAAGCAAACTAAATCTGATGGATGCTAACCCTGTAGACACACCGATGACAACAGGTTATCAGGTAGATGACACTGAAGAAGCATTTTCTGACACTACACTGTACAGGAGTGTGCTAGGCAAGCTAAACTTCATTGCCAGATGTTCAAGACCAGACATTGCTGTTAGCTGTAATTTGCTAAGCAGACAAGTCAACAATCCTAGTGTCAAGGATTGGAAAGCTCTGAAACGCATAGCGCGGTATTTGAAAGGCACTATGCATTACAGACTGAGATTTAACAATCAAAAGTCTGGTGGTCTTGAGATATTTGCAGATGCAAGTTTTGGAAGTGACGCTACAGACAGGAAAAGTACGTCTGGAGTTTGCTACATGTACAATCAGGGTCTGTTTGATTGGTCATGCAAGAAGCAAACAACAGTTAGCTTAAGTACTTGTGAAGCCGAACTGAATGCACTGTCTTATTCACTTAAGGATTGTGAATGGTTAGTACAATTGTGCAAAGATATGAAAATTCCTGTCAAATGTCCAATCCAGGTTTACCAGGACAACAAAGCATGTTTGGCTTTGCTGAAGTCTGAAGGTTGTAAGCAAAGCACAAAGCACTTGCAATTAAAGTTGCAGCATGCTAGGGAATGTATTCAGAAGGGACTCGTAACGGTGTCCTATATGCCAGGTAATGAAATTCCTGCTGATGTATTGTCCAAGATTGTATCAAGGGATCAACACTGTACCTATGTGCAGAAGTTGGGTTTGTACTGATATTGTGCAAACACGCTGCCCAGTGATGTTCACAGAAAGGGGAGGATGTTGGTTTCTGCTTTCCTTCACTGTGCAGCTCTGCTTGTCACGAGACAGGTGTTTACATTCCACAGTCTGTACTGTTGGAGTTTCTCACGGGAAAGGGAGACTGGATGTGACGTACACTGGTTTCCTGTTTTTCACTGTGTGATTCTCTCCGAGCTGTTGAGGAGAGAGGATGCATTTTTCTGCTCCGGCAGAGGCAAGATGTCTTTCTGTAATATACCAGCTTTGAACTGTAAATAAAGCAATATAGAGTATGTAGCACGTAATCCTCATCCTTCCGCTGGGCACCAGACTCTGCTTTAAATCAACAGAAAGCACCCCTAAGTGCAAGTAGATGAATAGGTACCGCCTTATAGCGGGAAGGTAAATGGCGTTTCCGTGTGCTGCGCTGGTGCTGGCTCACCAGAGCAGCTTCGTCACGCTGGCCACGTGACCCGGAAGTGTCTTCGGACAGCGCTGGCCCCCGGCCTCTTAAGTGAGATGGGCACACAACCCTAGAGTCGGTCACGACTGGCCCGTACGGGCAGGGGTACCTTTACCTTTACCTTTATATGGTTATAATGTGAGATTCAGCAACTTGCCTATATATCCACTTTTGCTTGGTAATTTTTTCATCCAGGCTGTAAAAAAAAAATGTTTTATAGCATTGGGCCAATGCAGTTTTATGGTAAGAAGTTGGAATGGTCTTTCTATTCAGAAGAAATCTGTGAGTATTTACTAGTAATGCAGTTTATAGGATTGTCAGAGGAGTGCCATTAAAGCTGGATAACTGCAGAATGCAAGATGCTTTTCGGGGAGGTTTCATATCCTGGAGCCGTTATAGGATTAGCATAAATTACCGCTGTTTGCTAGGCTGTCAGCATGAGAACAAAACATCAGGTGGAAACTACGTGTTTAGGAAGAGGATGCAAAATAAGCAGGTGCCACTAGGGATGGGCAGATAAGCCTATTTCCCTTCTGAGTCAGAAGTCTGTCTTGTCCCAGGTTTTGCACACACAAAATTAGCACAGGCATTGCATGCATTTTGTACTCGTTTTGTACACATTCTTCCTCTACAATATCAAATGTATTTCCAATGTATTTCCCCCTAAAATATGTATCTTGGTGTGCATTATTATTTTTTTAACCAAGAGTGCATTGCAGTAATTGGAGAAACACATAATCAAGCACATAATCAGAGCACGGCAGGCACTCCTGTCTTCTACTGTCTCCCGCAGTTTGGTCAAACTCATGCTGGTAGCCTCGAGAACACTGTCCAACCATCTCGTCCTCTGTCGTCCCCTTCTCCTTGTGCCCTCCATCTTTCCCAACATCAGGGTCTTTTACAGGGAGTCTTCTCTTCTCATGAGGTGGCCAAAGTATTGGAGCCTCAGCTTCACGATCTGTCCTTCCAGTGAGCACTCAGGGCTGATTTCCTTAAGAATGGATGCATTTGATCTTCTTGCAGTCCATGGGACTCTCAAGTAAGTAGGCATGTATATATATATCTGCATATAAGTCTGGGAGTGGCAAATTAGGCCAGTTTTCTTCAAAATGCAGAGCCAGCAGGGGCATCTGCGTCATGCTGGCCCATATCTTCCCAATTATTATTTATCTTAACTTTCACAGGCAGTGGCTTTAGTCTCCAAGTTCACAAACAGAGGACTTTCCCAGCCTTTCTGCCCAAGATCTTTTCAACAGGAAATGCTATACCTTGTGCATGCAAAACACTCTACTGCCATATGTGCTCTATTCAGAGTCTGGAGTCCCTTCAAACAAATTGTGCTTTTTGCAGAACAGAAAGCAGAATACCAGATTTCAGGGCAAAATGCTCCTGTACTTTCTGCTGGCGGGCTTCCCATAAAAGTGGCTTTCTCAACACATGCACATTAGAAGAGAACACATGAACACTTGCTGGATTAAACCAAAGGTTTGTCTAGTTCAGCATCCTGTTCTCACAACAGCCAGATGCCCATGAGGGCAATAGTACTTTCCCCACTTGTGGTCTTCAGCAACTTCAGAAGCATACTGTCTGCAATACTAGAGGTAGCAGACAGCTATCATCAGGGATGGATTAAATCTGTCCATTTCCATTCTCTCTGTGTCTCATTTTCTCACTTGTTTGGTGACCCCTATTTCCCTTCACAGAGCTACGTTTCTCAGAGTGGTTAAACTATCGTTCCCCCTTCCTAGGGAACTCTGGGAATTGTAGCTCTGTGAGGGGAAATAGGGCTTTTCTAGCAACTCTTGACACCCACAGCAATTTACAGTTCTCAGAATTGTTTGGGGGAAGCCATGACTGTGTAAAGTGGGGTGATACTGCTTTAAATGTATAGTGCAAAATCGGGCCTTGGTTAGGAGAAAAGTGGGAAGAGATATGGGTAGAGGTGGCATGTTTAATAGGTACCCAAATAGTATTTTAAAACTGACGAGGAAAGGAAAAAGGACATTAGCAGGCTCATTCAACTGACCAAAGAGGAGACACATGGCAGGAGTTGAAACTAGGAAGCTGGAGGCTGAAGAAGGCAAGTAAAGCAGGTAAGTTTGTTTATTATTATTAATCATGATGTGAAACCAATTTTGCAGCAAGGGCAGCCTCAAATGTTTTTCATTCTTTGCCTCCATTTCCACACTTGTACTTTAACACTAACTGTTCCGCGTGAGGAGGATTTCAGGACGAAGTTATGGGACATGAAATGATTGGAAATGAAGCCTAATATCTGCCCGGAGACCTTTGCAGGTGCAAACAGCATGGAAAACGAGATGGCGTATAACCATCACTGAGCACAAATAACCATGACTGGCTAATTTAAAAGGTGTCTGGAGGGGCCCTCAACTGTTCCACAAGAGTTGCACGTTTTATCCTTTCCTGCCTCCCCAATGATCTGTTGATTTTATCACAGGGCAGCAAGCTTACAGTGCAACAAGTTGCATAGGTACATACTTGGATCCAAGACTGTATTTTTTAATCTATGAAGGAATATTTTTCTCCAATAAAAAAGAATGTTGTTCCCCCCTCCCCAAGCCAAACAGAGGCTAGGGGTGGAATATTGCAACCTGAAGTTATTTCATTGTGATTCCTGGAATTCCAGCTTTTTGCCAAATCACGATTGCCTGCAGCAGTAGCTGTGCTTTCAAATGGAAAAGATTTTCTCCCCCCCTCCTGTCCCCATCTCCAGCTACTGTATGAACATCTGTGATATATAACACTCACCTCTTTTTATATGGGAGCCCTTGGGATTGCAACTGGTTTATAGTCCTAGGAAATCCCAGCTCAGACGATGTCAGGAATTAATGTGCTCATAAAATTCCACCTTAAAACTAATTGAATGTGTCTGCGGCCAAGTCTTTCGCCCAGAGAAGCTCCGCTAAATGGTGACACATTGCATTTGGAGCTAGATATTCCACATCTGGAATCCAAATGTTTGACGTGATGCTAAAAAAAAAAAAAAAAGCCAGCACAACAAACCAGCAGGACACTTTACAGCCAGAAACACAAGCAACATGGACCTCGCTCTCCTCTGCATGGTCCTGCCGCTGCTCACGGTGGCCTGGGGCCAATACATGGACTATTATGACCCGTATAGTGACTACAGGGGCAGCGACGGATGGGTCAATGTGTACCGGCAGGGTTTCAATTTCCAGTGTCCTCATGGACAAGTGATAGTGGCCGTGAGGAGTACTTTCAGCAAAAAGGAAGGCTCTGACAGACTGTGGAACTATGCCTGCATGCCTACCCCTCACACCCTGGGAGAGCCCTCAGAGTGCTGGTGGGAAGAGATCAACAGAGCTGGACTGGAATGGTAGGACACCAAGCTTAAACTTTCTTGAGGAGCTGCCATTGTGTGTGTCTGTGTGAGAGAGCATGTGTGCGCGGAACCCATGTTGCTCAGTGCCAGGCTGATGCGATGGTTAACAGATAGCAATGCATGTGGCACTAAAACAAATTAATTAAGGAATTAACGCTCTGCTTAAGCCAGTGTGAACAATCCAACAAGCTGCAGTGATGATTCTGCTATGTATTTCCATAGATGAGGCAGTCGCAACTTCATTTATTTATTGGATTTATAGCCCACCTTTACTCCAAGGAGCTCCAGGTGGCATTTTTGGCTCTTCCCATCCCCATATAACCCTCATAACAACCCCGTGAGGCGGGTTAAGCTGAAAGGCAGTGACTGGACCAAGGTCACCCAGCGAACTTCATGGCTGAGTGGGGATTGGAACCCTGGCAGTGATGGCAAACCTATGGCACGTGTGCCAGAGTGGGCACTCAGAGCCCTCTCTGTGGGCACGCATGCCATCGGTCCATCCGCGCCGTTGCTGGGGGTTGGCAAAGTGGGCAGCTGTCCCCCCCAGACCACTGTGGGCAGGAAACTCTCACTAGAGTTCCTCGGGCCCCCCATGCCACTGCAAGCTGGAAATGGGTTATTTGTTGCTTGTGCGAGCTGGAGATTGTCTGTGGTGATTGGGCGGGAGATTATTCCCTGTTGTCGATTGGCTTCCTTGTGTTAGTTTGGTGGCTGCCTTTTGGCATTCCCCTCAAAAAAGCTCAACAAGCCTGGACAAACACACACACACACACCCCGCAACAGCTAAACAACGCATGGCACTTATTTCTCACAAAGTGCCAACACTAAGTGGGTTTTGGGTTGGGGTTTGGGCACTCGGTCTCTAAAAGTTTCACCACCCCTGTCCTGGTCCAACGCTCTAATCACAACACCACAATGGCTCCCATTTGTTTGGTTCCATTCCTTGCTTTCTCCACATTGTGAATGCTCCTTGATTTGTCTCCCTCCTTGTCTTGCAAGCATTGTACTTTTGTCCACCGGTTCAGCAACATTGGCTGGAGTTAGATGGATAATAGTTCTTGTTGTTGTTGTTTGTAATGAGAAGAATTTTTGCTTGGCATGGCTATCATATTCTGTTCTAGCGAAGCAGATTTTAACAGTGCCAGGAAACCTTGCAAAATCTATTTGACTAGAGAAATATTCCATGTGGGGCGGGAGGGGGGAGAGCAATGAACGTACATGAGCAATGATAGCTCTATTAGAATATGTTCAGCTCTCTGAAGAAAGTGCTGTTGATCTCCCGCCAACATTTTAATGATTTGAGAGATCTGCCCAGTGCTGGATGAATTTTGCAATGAAAGACTCCTGTTCCTGTTCAGTTAAGAATGATTAAAAGTCCTATCTACCACCTCAAAAGATAGGGAGGGGATATTTTATGTAGTCCAAGTTCTCAGTTTCTCTTCATATTATGTGTGCAGAACATTCTGTCACACATACTCACTGTGCACTAGATATTTCTAGGCAGAATATATCTAAACATGTCTTCTAATGGTTCGGTGTTAAATGCACTGCCTCATTTCCTTGCTTATGATTCAATACATATATATTTGTATATATATATGTATATATATGTGTGTATATATATGTATATATATGTAAACTATAGACGGAAGAATGATCTTGTCCTTTGACTTGTGGTCAAGTAATCTCACCCCATTCCCCCATTAGTAAGTTCTTCTTACTAAGGTGTTAAGTTGGTTGCAAGGTTCTTCACAATCTCATTTTTACGTTACTGCCTTTAAAAATGGTGTTTGTACTAAAATGACACCGCAACTTTTCCTCAATATCCTAAGACCAAAAAAGAATACTGAACAAGAGGGCATAATCTCTCACCACCCCACCTCCCCTAGGAGCCTTTGGCACTTTGTGTTAAACATGAAAATGTTAACTGAACTCAACAAAACATTTTCACATCTTTTAACTGTATTGCTCATCATTGCATATATTTTTCTTCTTCACTTTGCTCACACAGAATGTGCTTATTTGGCACAGGGTAGGAGAGGGAGACCTGCCAGTTTCTTTGCTAAAAAAGAAAGGAAGAGATGGTCTGGAGTTATGTCTTTAAAGGCAAAATGGAAATAAGAAAAAGCATCTAAATCTGGAAAAAATATGCATGTTAAGAAAGCATTAACACTGACCTCTTAAGACTCTGGCTTGGAAATACAAATGAGCATTTCCCCCCATGTATGCACAGATATTTTGCTATCGTTAGCTAATATTTTGCCTAGAAATGCTGATGGAGTCTATGAAATAAAACAGGCCTAGATGACTCATCATACCAAAGGATGTACATTTATTTCCCACCCTTTTCTTAAGGCCTGGGTTTAGGAAGTAATATATCTTTGTGCCATTCTATCCTCACAACAACCCGGTGAGGAAGGCTAGGCTTGTTGAACGGTCTCTTTAAATTTGAAGGTTCATTATTGTTCCACAAGATGTGTATGTCTTTAAGGGCCAGAGCAAATAACTTGATCCAGTTTTACAGCAGTGAAACAGTATAGCAGGTGCTGCTAAGTTGTGTTAATTAAGCTGTGTCAGCAATTGGGTATAGTATATAAAGAGCTCTCTCAGTACCCTGGGGGATGGGTTGGTGGTTGGGTCATGCTTCTTGATGTATTTAGTGTAAAAGGGGTTTTTGTTTTTGTTATTAAAACCTTGTTATTTTTGAGTTCCTTGTAATGCGTGGTCTCCCCAGCAAGCTTTCTGCAGCGCAACTAAACTGCAAATAGCCAACAAGGCTAGGCTAAGAAAGAGCTGGGACAGCTTTATGAGCCTGAGTTCTCCCACTTGCTAGCCTAGCTCTCTCTCTACTCCACCACACTTTCCCTGTGACTGGGGCCACCAATGATGATTTTGGTAATACTGCTAAAACTTGCAGAGGCAGTTTTACTAGTGGTGATAGCGGTACACAAGAGTGTGTAGCCACAAGCAGTAACAGGTCTACCATACTGCCTTCTACTCTTTTAAAAAAGCATTGCTTGCTTCTACCTATGCAGCTGGCGATAACATAAGATGTTCCAGCACACCATCATAAAATTAGGTCGCATCCACTCCAGACATTTAAAGCACATGGCTTCCCCCAGAGAATCCTGAGAACTGCAGTTTCTGAAGGAAGCTGGGAACTGGGGACACACACCCTGCACAAAAGTAGTTGTAGGGGTGAGGAGAAAGGGCTTGGCACTGAGGAAGGCTAGTATGGGGCAAGGAGTGCTGGAGCCTGGGCAAACTCATCACACACTGGAGAAGGGATGCAGCTCATTGGTAAGCAAAAGGTCCCAGGCATTTTCAGGTAGAGCTAGGGATTGTCCCTTGACTGAAACCCTAGCAAGCCTCTGTGATTCTAGGCTGTACTGGACCAGATTGACCGATGGGTCTTCAGGAATGTAAGACAGCTTCCTTTGGTCTTTGAAAACTGTTATAAGAAAAAAACCCCTGCTCCCTTTCCCTTATGGGGTATTCTGGAGCCCGTATAGAGTCCTTAAGTGGGTTCCCCATTGGTAGGAGAAAATAAGAGGCCAACCAGAGTATATGAGAAGCAAAGTGGCTAGTAAGTCTGGTCTTTATTAAAGGAACTGTTGCAACAGGGTCCCCACTCACCACATGCAGGAGGGAGGAGAACAATGGTGCACAAGCCCTTATATAAACTTTTGAAATTGCCCACCCTGTACCCCAAGACCACCCCCCAAAACATCACAGAAGGAGGCAGTCTACAGCAGAAGTCCTGTTTGCCAGGATACCTGATAATGGTCACTAATTGCATTACCCAGGCAGTCTGGCCATTCTTTTGTGATGGTTAATACTTTAGTTCCTGAATCCAGGTCACAGGCTCACCCTATTCATACACAAATACGCCCTTAAGATAGGATTTGCAAGCAAAAAGACAATGGGAAGGCTTTCCTCATTTGCCTCCCTTACTACAGAGGAATATTTGAGGTCATTGGGAGAGTCAAAATGGTTTCAGGATTGCTCTCCCATACTATTGCAGACACGTTTCATATATTTAGATATGTGTGCATTTATAAATATTTATTCTATATCTGAGAACTTAATTTTTTTTTAACAAAACCATATCCAAATGCAACTATCTTCGTTCACCCCTTTTTGCTGACAAAGTCGAAAGTGAGTGTAAGGGGAAAATGACTGGTTAACAATTCAAGGCTATACAGTGGTGCCTCGCAAGACGAAATTAATCCGTTCCGCAAGAGTCTTCGTCTAGCGGTTTTTTCGTCTTGCGAAGCAAGCCCATTGACGGATTAGCGCTATTAGCGCTATCAGCTGTTTAGCGGCTATTAAAGGCTTAAAGGCTTAATTAGCTGCTAAAAGGCTATTAAAGGCTATTAAAGGCTTAGCAGATTAGATAAAGGGGGAAAGCGAAAAAAATCTCAAGACTCGCAAGGTATTTTCGTCTTGCGAAGCAAGCCCATAGGGGAATTCGTCCTGCGAAGCAACTTCAAAACGGAAAACCCTTTCGTCTAGCGGTTTTTCCGTCTTGCGAGGCATTCGTCTTGCGGGGCACCACTGTAGAGCCATTTGAGGTCATGTTCCTTCGGAATGTCTAGCTTTACTTATCCAAGCTGAAACTGAAATCCTTATGTGGAAGTTTTACCTAGTCTTAGCACCTCACCCCACCCTCCACCTTTGTACCATTTAATGATTTAAAAAACAAAACAAAAAACTTCCTTGATGACGGCACTGGTAACTGTGAAGTGATAGATGAAGCCATTAGCCCCAACTACTATTTGATGGTGATATGACACCGTAACCGTATCAGCGCTTGAGAAAGAAAAGCACATGAAACAATCATCTTGAAAGACTGCATGGCTTTTATGGTAATAGCTGAGCAAAGCAGCCCTAGTTTATCGGCCGTTTTGAAAAACAGAACACAGGGATTTCTGTGAAATAGTGCCAGCGAAATAACTGCCACACAGTGGTGGCACTATTAGAAGTGCTAATAGATTTGGTTTCCATGACAGGCAAATAGATCTTTAAAAAACACTTATTCCTAGTCTACAGCAGCATTTCACTTTTGGAAGAATTTACACCTTTGCCAGCAGCCCCTAGAGACCGCAGATAATTTTCTTAGTGCATGTATAGTAGACTATCACAAGGGAAGGAGAATCATCATCATTAACTATTACTACATTATTGATTCTGCTGATTTATAAACTATTTCATAGCTACAAGCTATCCAAGCGATGTACAATAAGTTAAAATGAAATACAAAAGATAGACTGCAAAGACAAAACTGTTTATAAGATATGCAGTTAGCAATCCATAAAACAAATAGCTTATGGGAAAGCCTTCTTAAACAAAAATATATTTAAACTTCAAGGCACCAGGAGCTTGTCTGATTTCATCTGGTAATTGACTCTGAAGGGTTGGTTTCTGGTACAAACTAAGAGGAACCTTGTGGCATGCACAGCAGTGCCCTATCTGAGGAGCACAGTTTTTGGGCAGGCATATATGAGGGAAGTGGGGAAAAGACTTGGCCTTGTTCAGCTACAGGTATGAGACCATTTGAAAAAGTTAAGCTTCAAGGGCTGGCACTGTTGGGGAGTCACCAATGTCCCGTGTACTCTGGAGGGTGGGCCCACTGTCTTCCCATCACAAAATGTCAGCAGCAACCACCAAAGCCTGGTAGTCCTTTCAGGGCTGGGCAAAGGGAAGCCAGGGATAGAGTCTGGGTTGCTTCTCCATATTTTGCAATGACGTTTGCTAGCAAAGAAGTGTGCATATAAATGCATAGGTTAGTGAGAATATCATACAAAAATGCAATACATATGGGGAAACTGCTTTACAAAAATGTGTTCATGAGGCAAATTTGCACTATAAATATTGGAATATTAGGATAAATTTGCACTAAAATATTGATGAAGTTTCATGAGGACTTTTTAAAAAATTGCAAACTGATGTGGAAAACTGAACAACATGGGTTGCACGTCACCCCAGTCTCTGAGTGGTGCAAGAGTCCAGGGGTTCCAAGCACTCACCTAGGGTTCCATTTCCTTGGAAAGAGAGATAGCGGAGACTGTGGTGTCTTTAGGATATGTGATTTATTTACACAAATATACAACCTGAGACTAAGATGGAGGGGCTCACAGCATTTACACTTTCTGATATTCACAGCCTTGGAATCAAACGGAAATCAAGCACGTCTCTCACTCTCTGGCTTCTACTTGCTTCTAGCTGAAGCCCCAGGACTCTGGCTATTGTCCTTCTAAGTAGCAGTCAGGTGAGGAGAGGGAAAGGCTCACTCATTTGCCCAGAGGGCACCATCACTTCTTTTGCTACATTAATGGTGGTCCTTAGGTAACAACTATGCCCATTCTCTCACACAAAAACTTGCCTGACTAACTCTGCAAACTCACAACAATAATATTGGAAAATTAGGAACCAAGAAATACCAAAATAGTCATATTTGCTCATCCCTAGTTGCTAGATTCCATTACTCTGCAAGAAAGTGTTTACAGGCATGTTTACAACAACAACAACAACAACAACACTGCTACTACTAGTAGTACAACTTATTTTCATTATCATTTTTCTCTTCAGGTATCAAACATGCTCAAATAATGGGTTGGTGGCAGGATTCCAGAGCCAATATTTTCCATCGGTGCTTGATCGGGAGTGGCAATTCTATTGCTGCCGCTACAGCCGGAGATGTCCATATTCATGTTGGTGAGTTTACAAAAGTGCACTGAATTTTTAATGCATTGAGAACATTTCTTAAAAAAACCCCAAGATCATTCCCTTAAACTATAAAAGCAATAAAACCTTTCCAGAGATGTACAATTAATATTTTGTAAATGATTGTGTAAATGATTCCTCAGAGAAAGCCTTCTTAAATAAAAATGCCTTCAGTAGATACCTAAGCATCAAATACTATGTGCCTGTCCGATTTCAGTTGGTTGACCCCAGAGGGCTAGAACTGTAATACAAAAAAAAACAGTTTCTAGTACAAACTGAGCTTTAATATAGAACAAAACAGGGTAATTTGATGTATCACAAGCTGAGCAACTGGGTTGTTGATATAGCTGTCCAAATTAGAAACCAGGATGATTTTTGTCTGTGCAGCTAAAATGAGCACTGGCAAATTGCTTCCTTAAATGGACTGACCAAAGGTGATTCAAAGTATCATAGACAAACAGAACTACAGAGGAAGTGAAGTTTTCAATTAGATGTGCACAAGATGTTTACTTGCCTTTTAGTGGGCCAGCTGCTGACCTACATGCAACAACAATGCATACAAGTCCAGAATAAAAATTGCCTTGCAGATAGAAGGGAAAGTAATCTTGGATTTCCCTTCATAAAAACTTCAAACATCCTTCCAAGTGTCGGCTGATGTTCTGCACCTGCGCGTGAAGCAACAGCCCTGCCAAAAGTCTGCCTTGTGAAGGAGGTGCTCTCTGCTTTACTAGCGAAGGTCATCATTTAGGCCTTTGCTTACATTTATGAAGGAACTGGTTTTGTGCCTCAGTGGGACAAGTCACGCTACTGTATCATTCAATTCAGTTGTAATCTTGGAGCATCGATTTGCCATGTCAATTGAAGGCTCTTGCCTGGCAGCTTCGGATGCTGTTCATATCTGAAGCCCCACCTCCCTGCTTCTGCCATCCTCATGAGTGTGTGCTTAGGTATCCATCTCTATCTATACACATGAGAACATAAGCAGAGCCTGCTAGATCAGGGCCAATGGCCCATTAGTCCAGCATCCTTTTCTCACAGAGGCCAACAAGATGCCTGTAGGAAACCTGTAAGCATGAGCTGAGTGCAACAATATGTTCTCTATTTCTGATTCCCGGTCAATGTCCAATCCACTTTTTAAAGCCATCCAAGTTGGTGGCTGTCACTACTAGCGAATTCCATAGTTTAACTATGCAGTGTGTGAAGAACTATGTTCTTTATCTGTCCTGAACCTTCCGATGTTCAGCTTCATTGGACATCCATGAGTTCTAGTTTTATGGGAGTGGGAGAAAAATGTGTCCCTGTCCACTTTCTCCACCCCACACATCAGTTTATATACTTCTATCATCCCCTCCTTTGCTCACATTTTCTCTGAACTTAAAGAACTCCAAATATTGTAGCCATTCCTTATAGGAGCGTTGCTTCAACCCCTTGCTTGCCCTTTTCTGGGTCTTCTCCAGCTCCACAATGTCCTACACTGTGCACAGAATTTGTTGGGATACTGCCAGGGAGATAAAGTCCATCAAGGCCCCCAAGCCGTCTGCCGGACGATCCATCGACCTCCCGTAGGCACGCAGCGACATGAGTTTCTAGAAAATATCTTGCCACATTCCAGAGCTCATGCACACTCTATCAGCAGATAACGCACAGCCAAAAGTTGCAATCAGGAGAGCATTATTTACAAGTTTATTCAGCGTTGATCAGAACACAGAAAAACATGACTGCCTGCTTTAGTGTCTACGACACAGAGAGAAAACGAAAGCAACAGAAAACATAAACATGCTGTGAACAGGAAATACGCAGACTCTGTGACTCATAGCCTGCTCCCTTTTAAGGTGGAACGGAAATATCCTAACAGAATTTACCCCTAAGACTTTTCAGCAAAGATACATTTTATCATAAAATCTTGTTAAGTGTACCCTCCTCCTAGTATTTCTATTTTATAAACTAGATACAGTCGAACCTTGGTTGACGAACGCCTTGTGACGCCTTGTGCAGGAGCTTCCTGCAGCCAATTGGAAGCTGCGTCTTGGTTTCCGAACCTTTTGGAAGTCAAACGGACTTCCTTTACAGACTTTGTTCGACTCCCGAGGTACCACTGTACTCACTTTGTGTTTGAGCTGGCAGACTGGTCCAGCAACTTCTGTGTTCAATCAGGATTTGTGCAGAGTCCCCGAGTCCACATACTGACTATTACAGTACTGCGTCATTTTATGAAGCCAAGCAAACCTTGTGCTCAGAATCCTGTTGGTTGGTGTCTTAATGGTCTGACCTTGCCCACAAACAGCTATTTGCATTTCCTTGTTGTTATTGTTATTATTATTATTATTATTATTATTATTATTATTCATTTAATTTGTATACCTCCTTTCATCCGTAGATCTCAGGGTGGTTCATCACAACATACCCTCTTTATGACACAAGTCTATGCTTTTGTTAAGCCCATGAAGTTCAGAGGAATTATTTGTACATCAATGTGCATAGGATTACAGCTTTAAAGTGTAATCTTATGCACCTCTACTCAGAAGCAAGCCCTGATGAAATCTATGGGACTTACTTGCAGACAACTGTTCCAGAAATCCAGCCTTCATTTACTAGGAACCTGTGAGATCTCATTAGTGTTGAACGTGGTTGTCTTGTTCTTTTATATGGGACAGTTTTATTACTCTATCAAAATATAATCTTGGAAGGCAAAGTAAGGTATTTCCCTGGGAAAGGCTCTAGCAATCAGCTACATTTTATGGTTCTGTGATGAGAGGCCAGCTGTTCTATAACTTCCAGCGTTAGCCTGGAAGGAATAAAGAAGAAAGTTAAATAGAGAAGTAGCAAATTCTTTGCAGATGTCACTGTGATGTTGCATCTATCTGTAAATGTATATAAGTGGAGGGAGATCTCAATCCTCAGCTTGAAGCAGTCTGAAAGATAAACAGCATTTGGAATGCTGTTTATAATAATTTCCCTGCTCCAGGCAAGCAGGGCTGCCGAGGTCCAGAAAGGTTTGGCTGGTGCTACAGCTGCTCTCGCTCACCATTGCCTGTCCAAGCAATGACCACATTTACCAAGACCTTACAGAATTATGGACCCTAGCGGATACAACCGTTTCCTCTACACAGTTTGCCATTTGTTAAAGGCGTTGATGTTCATGGACTCTTTCACTGGCAATGTCAGTGTCCGGAAAATGGAGCAACTGCAGAATACAGCTGGTATCCCTAGAAGGGAATGGAGGAAGTCTCTTTTGCCCTTCTTCATGCCTCCTTCCAAGGAGAGAGCCATGCTCAAAGGGTGCTACCCTTCCCATGTTGCCCTCAACATGGCTTCTGGCCACTTCTGGTGATTTTCAACACAATGGCCCGGAAGGAGCCAATGTGCAGCTGGTCCCCAAGGGAGAGACTGTTCTCTTCTTCTTCTCCTCCTCCTCCTCCTCCTCCTCCTCCTCCTCCTCCTCCTTCTTCCCTCCTCCCGAGGAGAGTTGCCATGGTGCTGATACTGCTGCAGGGCAAGGAGGAGGAATGACCACTTGCACCTTGGGGCCTCTTCTCTGCTGTGATGAGATGCCACCTCCTCAAATTTGCTGCCCCAAGCAAATGCCCTGTTTCCCATAAATACATCATTGCCTACCTGGGAATGCCTGGGATTGAACCTGGTTGGTTATTATGAGAATAGGGTGCTGGATGAGGTGGGCCATTGGTCTGATCCAGCAGGTTCCTAAGGACTTTCCATATGCAAAGCAGATGCTCTAGCACTGAGCTACAGCTCTTCCAAGGTTTCTTGTGCTTGAAGATGACACAGACATAGCAGGAAGCCTGAAAGGCAATTGTACATCTCCCTTCCTTCCTTCATCCATCTCTCTCTCTCTCTCAACAGCATTTCTATCTTTCACACATGCACACCACATGGCAAGAGAGAAACTTACATAGTACCATTGCTCTCTCTATCAGGCATGGGAGATAAGTTCCCTCTTAAGAATTTTGAGCCGTTCCAGAATTTCAGAGTCAGTTGTTTTTGTTTGTGTTTGTTAGAGAATGTTCTTCTATTACTGGCAATGTTTAGACAGTGCACTGAATGGTCTTTTGAGGGCGGGGGTGGAGGGGATGAGAAAAAAGAGCCAGGAAATGATCTGTAATTAAACCACATCTGCTATGTACATGACATAGTAAACTACTAAACAGAAAAACCAAGTTGTGGAATATATGTTTAATTATATAAAAAATAGGGCAATTTCAGTGTGTCTATAATCACCGAAAATAGCTAAGGGCTTGTAGACAAAGAGACTCCACTGAAGTAGAATAACCAAGTGAGACACTATGCTCTCCTCATTTCCATTCCTGACTCTGACACAGGCTTCTTGTGTGTACTTGGGCAAGTTGCCTAAACTTTCTATTTCCCTTAATCATTTGACCAAATGGTGCCTTGCGGACTACAACTCCCATCAGCCCCAGCCAAAGGGTGAGAGGGGTCTCACAGGGGCTGAATTTTTGAGGATGCCCAGCAACCCTTAAAAAAGTAAAAGAGGAGGAAGAGCAGCAAATCCAGGCCCAGTACAAAAAGTGATTCCCTGGGCCAATCTCTAAGAATGCCCTGAGTAGCAGTAAGACATCTGTATTTGATGAAGCATGAATGGGTAAACCAACATGCTGCACAAATGCAGACAATGTTGTTGTTGTTGTTTTATTTTGCCCATCTGACTAGGTTGCCATAGTGACTCTGCATGGCACATCACATGTCACACATCCGAAGCATTTTCTTTTCATTGAAGAAACTAGCAAGAACTAGATGAAAAGTACTGAAGACAAGAACTGACCAAGACACAACACTCTCTCTCTCTTTACATTGCTTTAATTTATTTGTTTATTTGCAAAAAAAAATGTACTACCAATATTAAGGTGAGGGTGGGAATCATGGCAGCGAGCAGCATAGTATCCATAACAGATTTACATCCATTTAAAAAAATTGTCACCCATCAGCTTAATATACCGACCATAGATGGATCAGGTGTGTTTCAAGCAGGTACCTAAATGCCAGTACTGTAGGTGCCTTCCTGCTGTTCATTGGGAGAGCATTCCAAAGGCTGGTGCTACCACACTAAAGGCCCTGGACTTAGTAGACACAAAATGGACCTTAGGAGAAGACCTTGCTCCAACAGAACCATCTGCTTAATGCTACATTGAACACAGACCCTCTGTGTTTGTCAAGAGCAGACATGAAATCACAGGATACGGGGAAACTACCCGCACTTCAGTTCAAAGTGGGTGTGATATGCACTAGGTTAAGTTACATGTGTGAACAGGTTTTTCAGTGGGCTGACAAAAGCAAAAGTCATAACATTTGAAACATAACTGTTCTTACTTTTTCTAGAGAAGGCAAATAACTTGATTCCCCCCCACTCCTCCTGTTTAAAAGGTTGACAACAGAACACCCAGAACACTACGGGGAAGATATGGACATGATGATGTATACCTATGATCATTACATCCGTGGAGCAGCCACAACTTTCTCCGGTGTGGAAAGGTCAGATTCAGAAATTCTCTTGAAACCTGAACCTTTCCTGTGCTGCAAAGAAATGGTTTGTTACATTGTGATATTCCCCCCAAAAAACAATGGTGTGGAAGGTACAACATAGACCAAGGGAGGTAGGGACTATGGACATGGAAGACACAAGTTCCATGATGATCCCTCTTCATGCATCCACTGAGCTGGAGACAGAGTGGCAATCTAGCCCTTACCCAATCAGAGCAGTATGGGACTTCTGTATCCCTCCCCCTTCTTATCCCTTAACCAATCAAAGCAATAGGGGACTTTCCATACCCCAACCCCTCCAATGCTTGATTTGCTGATCCTCCTCAAGGAACCCTAAATGCAGGGGCGGAGGACTTCAGCTCAAGGGCTGATTGTAACCCTCTAAGTCTCCCTATTAGGCTCCCAATAGACTCCAGCCAACCCCCTTCCCAAAACCACAGCCCTCACCAGCCCTGCTCTGTAGTCTCCTTGAGTACTTTTGCCAGGCTTCAGTTTGTCCTTGAATTGTGATAATTCTTCTTTTGCTTGTTTGGAAGGAGGATTGGGAGATGTGAGTAGGTGGGAATGGAGTGGGGAGAGACCTCTGATTGTTGAGTGTCTCTGGAATGCACCCTACTGTACAAAGGTAGAGGCCACACATCCATTACTCTGTCTAATTTATGCTTCTGGCCCTAACCAACACTTGTATGTGGCCCCCAGAAGCTGGCCCATAAAGGAATGTGGTCTGAAATTGTATTGTAGGCCTAGCAATGCCTGGTCACATTTGCAGCTTCTCCTTTGGCTGATGGCAGAAGTATTCATTCCCAGGCAAATTCTGCCCGCATTCTGTTTTTCTTTTCTTTTTTTACATTCAGAGAAAATGGGGTCAAATTTCATTGAGAGCAATAAAGGACTTGCATTGTACTAAGGCATTTTTGTATTTGAAACAAAATGCCAAAAATGTTCATTTTTAATTATGGGAAATGTCCACCACATACTCAGTGTCTCTAGCCAAAGCATCTGTTTCTGTTTGCTTCATGGCAATGCCTCCTCTCTCCCATTGTTTCCTGGAGAAAGCTAATGTCTAGAAGTACCCTAAACATCAAATTAAGGTTTCTCCAACAACCAGAACCCTGGCATGTAGGATCAAACACCCAATTTTTGTTGACGTTTCCACCTCCAATAGTTCAAAATCATGAGATGATGATGATTAAATTATTACCTGCCTTTCACCAGCAGATCCCAGGGCAGGTTACATTCAAAATTCAGAATTAAAAACAGTTAAAACAGATTACAGCCACAACATACAACTCAGGTGTCAAAGGCCAGAGTAAAGATGTGCGTCTTTAGCATTTGCCAAGAGGTGCATACTGAAATACCCAGACACACCTCTGTGGGGAGGGAATTCCACACCATAGGGGCTGCCACAGAGAAGGCCATACCTCTGGCTACACCCTCTGAACTTCCAAGGGTGGTGGAACTACCAAGAGTTGATCTCAACCCCCAGGAAGCTCTGTAGGTAAGAAGGCAGTCTTTTATATATTTTGGGCCTAAGCCATTTAGCTAGAGATGATCAAGTTGAAAGAAACGAGCAAAGTTCATCCTGACAGATCACAAAACAAAAACAAAAACAGAAGCCCAACCAGAAGCCTTGCTCTGTTGCAATGTTCTGTCTTGGTCACCACCTAAACACTTGTTTCCTCTATCTTTTCCCTTGCAGGGATCGCCAGTGGAAGTTTATTATCTGCAGGATGACGGATTTTGACTGCCAGTTTGACAATTTTAAGAAGAAGTGAATATGCGCCATGCTTCTGGGGGTGGGGTGGTGGTAGGGGGGAATGAAGGTAGAGGGGAAAGGAGAGAAAAATAGCAAAGGCCATATATCAACCATACACCAGTTTCTTTGCAGATGAGTAAGAATGACTCTTATTCTGCGAAGAGGGCTGCGAAGAACACTGAGCTCAACTTTACAAGACAGGCACATCCATTTGGCTCTTAATTAGGGATTAGATGGGCTGGGTTGATTTACATAATCTCTGCAGAGCATGTGTGCAGAGTACTTCCACTTCTACCCCTTCCTGGTCCTTCGACATACCTGGTGGATGCAACGGCAGGGGACCCATGTTAACACTGTAGTGTGTAGTGTGTGTATTTCTGCCCTTCACTGGGTCTCTTCCAGCACTGACCTGAGAGTATGGGTAGCTGCCTTGTGTGTGTGCCTTTAGACAACACCTTGGACCATTTCCTTGATTTGTTTAAATTTTTTTTTAATTCACAGCTACTTTACATTGTTTAGATGCTTTCTGATATAAACCTAGATGAAGCCATTTCCTTTGCTGTCTAGCTCACCTGTACAGATGCGTCTTGATTTTGCATGGCATCTTTGTATCCACTGTGCCCCGTTGTCAGATTACAAAAAAGGACCGCCAAAATGCCCAAAATTGTGCTTTGCTGATGTTTCAGAGCTAATCATTTGCCAACAAATGCTACCAGTGTGCATACCTCCTTCAAAATAACCCAGAGCAGCAAGCCAAACCACACAGGATGTTAATCATGCCCCTTCGCTTGGAGTGCAGACTTCTTATTGCACAAACTAAGCAGTGTGGCAACTCAATCCATATTGAGATCTTGGTGTGGGGGCAGGAGGGGGCTTTAGCTCTCTGTCCCCTGCTGTAGTCTCAGTATTTGGATTGCCCTCCATGCCCACAATTTGCATTGGGAAGGAGAAGCAGCTTGAGCAAATGGGAGCTCCCCCACCCCCCACAAAAGAATTTCAGGTTCCCTCCTCATCTCGACTGGGAATGCAGTGGTGGTGATATAAGGCTGAAGCTTCCCTACCCCTGATCCAACTCAGGACCCCACTCTGTCAATTTCTGCAGAAAAAATCCTGCTCCCAGTGCCAAAAAACATGATTAATGTAGTGCCTCTACAATTAGATGACAGCAGAGGCATTTTTTTCTATGCCACAATTTTGCAACCCATGCAAATATATCACATTCATATTATCTGTTGTGGGGAACCCTCCCCCCCCCACCAATGTTACTTGCCTACAACTCCCCTTATCCTTGGCCATTGGCCATGCTTTCTGGGGCTGATGGGAATTGTAGTTCAGCAATATCAGGAGGATCAAAGTTTCTCCATACCTGTTATATAGCAAGCCTGCCTGACAGGAAGGATGCCAGAGATTGCTTATTAACACTATCGCCTGAAATATGATCGCTTCTACAATTAATATGTCTAAATTTCAGGTGAACTTTGAAACGGTATCAAGTTGTGTTTTTCTTAATGTTTTCTTTGACATCCTGAATCATCAGAGGCCTATGATGAATAAAATAATACCAGATCTCCAACTTCTAACTAAAAAGGGAATATAGAGTTGCAGTTTTGCGACTGAACACGATTGTGTAAAACTGACGACATCCTGATGTTGTGTGCTATGTAAGTCAAATGTTTATTGGGCATGAAAAGGTGTGACCATGTCCCTGAAGCCGGTGACAATTTGTTCTATCACAGGAGAGGATTAAATAAATAAAAAAAGGGAGATACTTAAGAACCCAAAGACAACCCTGTTGAAATAAACTATGCAATTTACTCCAATTGCCTGTATTAGGATATCTTTATTATGTCCAGTATTTACAAGCACATTGTCAATTGTTATCCTAATCAACTGAAAAAATAAAATAATTTGGTGATGCAGTAACTTTAAAATATTCTCTCTCGCCCCCCCCCCCCAACTACCATATGTTTCTAAATTTGCTGGTTGCCAAGAAATAAGTCAATCGTGTTCTCAAGGACTCCAGGGAAAGAAGCAACATTCAGTTTTCAGTCAATGACAACAGGAAATATCACTGCTGGCAGATGGAAGCATTATAACTTGTTCTCTTCACTTGACATACCAGGGGTAGGTGGGGGTCATAGCCAGAAGTTGTCATGGCCAGAGCCAAGAGCAGCAAAGATACCCCTTTCTCTCTGAGCTGCTTCCTTTTATCTGAAAAGGAAAATGGAAATGCCATGTTAGAACTGGCCTTATATCACTGTAGGCCCAATGGTGCCTCACACAATGGGTCCCTCATTTAAAATAAACAAATAAAAGAGTTGGACACTTTCTCTTTAAGTAGCGATGCCCTGAACAAGCACAAATTTCTGGAAAAGACGAGAGACTGCATGAATTTGCAGGCGATAAGATTACAGATGCCTCTGTGAAGAGCAAATGACTCAGTATGATACTGCCGAAGACCTGCACTTTGTTCACAAACGTTTCCTTGTTTGTAGAAGAGCCTCAATGGATTTGTTCTAGCCTGCTTCAGAGACTTTATCTCACTCTAGTCCCTTGCCAGCTCCTGCTGCTCGCCTTGCATGTGGCTCCTCTCTGTCTCTTTAAACAGTTGTGCCTTGTCCATTGTAATGCTCAACTGCAGCAGCCTAAAAGTCACAGGAAGTATGCATCCACCGCTCTTTTTCTTCATCATGAGTTGTCCCAAATCACTCGAACATATGGAACATAGGAACATAGAAAGTTGTATGGTGCCAAGTCCGGCCTACTAGTCCATTTAGCTCAGTATTGTCTGACTGGCAGGATGAAGCAGATTCACAAGGCTTCAGACAGGGGACAATTCCCAGCCATGCTGCCTTCAGGTAGAATTTATAACGGCCAAACTAGATGCAAAGCTAATGTGTCTTTGGGGGTTGGGGGTGGTGGCACAATTTTAAGCACATTTGGATTTTTGAGCAAGTCCTATGGATCAGCCCTCTGCCCGGGACAGACACTATGCTTTCCCAAGGGATCTGTGTAAAGTCAGATCCAGTAGAATTAATCTGAGTCTTGAAAAATTCATTGAGCTGAAAAAGGAAGTGGTAAAAAGACTTACTCTTCTCATTTCCTCCCCTAACTCTATGATCTGTTCAAGGGGGGGGAAAGGTATCCATCACCTCATGATGACTAAGGAGGCAGTGAGGGGTGGGGACCATAGCTGTCAACGTTTCCCTTTTTTAAAGGAAAATTCCCTTATTCCGAATAGGATTCCTCGCAAGAAAAGGGAAAAGTTGACAGCTATGGTGGGGACTCAGAGGCTTCATGGGCACCAGAGGAAGACCTCAAGGAGACCACAGTGCCCCTGGGCACCATGTTGGCAGTCCCTGCAATGTCATACTATCCAACTTTTATGGAGCCCAAACCGGGTCGTGTGTCTTCCGGGCCGTGCTCCCAGGTGAGTCACATGGCCTGTACCATGCTCTCAACCCAAAAAGTAATTTTTTGAGGTGAGAGCACGACCTGAGATTGTGTGAGATTGTGGCATCCAAAATGGCCACCATGATCTCGTGTGGAACTGTATTGCAAAGTCTTGATATGCACAAATGTTTGTGTGTCGATTCTTATATTGTTTCAGAAAGGGCAAATTTAATATGCAGTGGTACCTTGGTTCTCAAACAGTTTGGCTCCCAAACACCGCAAACCCGAAAGTAAGTATTCCAGTTTGCAAGCTTTTTTGTTTTTTTTTTAAATAATATTTATTAATAATTTCAAAATTACAGAAAAGAAAGAAAATTTTTTAAAAACAACACTACAATACATAAAAAAGAATAAAGAAAAGCAAAACATAAAAACCAATGCAACAATACAACAAAAAGATAAAAAAGAAAGAAAAAAAGACACAAATCCCATATTACATATCTTTAACTTCCATTTGCTTGTTTCATTGACCTCCTCACACCTCCCTTTTTGTATTCTAGTTTGATTAGTTATTTCAGCAAATTCTTTCCATCTTTCTCAATTTTTATTAAATAATTTATCTTAACAATTTAACCTATTAATTAACTCAACAAATCCTTTCCATCTTTTCCCCATATTCTGTTATTCAAATTACCTTAATTTATTTAACCTTATCTTACCAAAAAAATACTTTAGAGCTTAAAGCTTAATACTCGATTATACATAACTCCTGATATCATTTCTACTAGAGTCATATAGTTTCATTCCAACATTTCCCCTAATATTCATTAATTTTAGGCTAATTCCCTAGAAAAAAAAATTCTTTATAAATTTTCTTCCAGTCTTCATCCAACGTCTCTTCTTCCTGGTCTCGGGTCGTGTCAGTCCTTACTGTCCATTCCATCTAGTCCATCAACCTGGTAATCTTATGTCCGAGGCCCTTAAGTCTCTTCCATGTCCCTTCTGCAGATCTTCTTCTTCTTGTTTATACTTGCACTTTTCCTTGTCTTTTGTTGGTCTCTTTCTTAATTTCTTTCCTTTCTCATTGAGGAGTAGGTCTCTGCGGGATTCCAACCCAAAATTATCTCTGTCTCCCTTCATCAAACCAGCCCATTCCCCACAGTCCCACTCCCCACAATCATCAATGTAGTCCAAAAAACATTTAAAAGCATATTTCAAGGTTTCTCCAAAGTTAAGAACCTCCTCAGCTCCAGACTCCCCCTGGCCCACTCCAACTTCAATCTTCAAAGACAGCGGCTTATGCTCCTGTAGGGCCTCGGGTCTCTCCATTTGTATTATTTGAGGTGCAACCGCAACCTCCTCCATTATCTTCTGCACTTGCCCAATCAACACAGGTTCCTGAGTTGGTCCCTGAATGGTTTCTGTATCAATATTCCCTGTTTGTCCACAGTTATTAACCACAACAGTCATCAAATCCATTTTCTCATTCATCAAATCCATCTTCTCATGCATCTGTTCCAACAAGGCACTTGTCTTGCATAAAGCAAGCACCAAAACTTCCTCCCAGCTCATATTTAGTCAAGGTCAAAAGGACTGGTCCCACGATCTTAATCTGACAGCTGTAGAGTCCTCAAGTAGACTGCAGCAACAATTTAGCAAGCTCCCTCTAGAGGAGACAATTTCTATTTGTATCCATTTTTTTAAGGCAAGTCCAACAAAGGAAAATTACTTTCATTTTTCAGATATTTTGTTTCTTTAGAATGCAAAAGGCAACATTGGAATCAGTTTATTTCTCTTCTTTAGCTATCTGTCAAAGTATTCCATTCACAGTCAATGAACCTCTCCAACAATTTCTGTCTCTGACACTCCGTTCCCAGGTTAGAGACGGTGGAAACTTATCTTTCTTCACTCCCTCTCCTGCAGGCGTTAAACAAAGTCCCCCCCCCTTTTCTCCTGCTTCCAAGGGGGTTTCAGTAGTTTTAAATGAAGGAAATTTAGACTTTTTAAACGACTTTCCAGGCTTTAGCTTACAAGGTTTTTGCTTCAGTCTATATACAAAAAGCGGAAGGCGGACTTCCTGTTTTGAACCTTCCCGCTTCGGTGCCAAATTAAGATATTTCTTGATCCAATTTTCCGTTTCTACTCACGGGTACTTGTTTTAAATCCAATTGTCCACAGGAAAAAGTCAGCGCTCTCCGGCAATGGCTGTGCGGCTTCACTCCGTGAAAGTAGCAGTCAGTTCGCAGCACCGCGCCGCTCACCCCACTTCACTCCGGAGCCCCAAAATGGGGTTCCCGGTGAGTAGGGGGGGCGCTCCTGGTGCCCTGCCGAACCCCACGTTCCCAGGCTTCCTCCGCCTGGGATTTCTAGCGGGTCCCCACCTTCGCTGCGGCGGGAAGACCCAGTTTCCACGGAGCCAGTTCCTCCGGTCGGAGGAACTCCGCCATTCGCCGATGGCGCTAACCCGGAAGTCCTCCAGTTTGCAAGCTTTTTTGGAAGCTGAATGTCCGACGCAGCTTCTGTGGCTTCTGCTTGAGTGCAAGAAGCTCCTGCAGCCAATCAGAAGCGGTGCCTTGGTTTTCAAACGGCTCTGGGAGTCGAACAGACTCCTGGAACGGATTAAGTTCGACAACCAAGGTACCACTGTATTCACCTCTCTGTGTGGACTGAATTGAATTTCTGCCCCATCCCTACCCCCGTCTAGGTGTCTGTCTCAGTTTTACAAGTCTCAGACATGGTAAGGCAGAAGCATGTAATCAAGTGGGGAACACTGTGGGAAAATCCAGACATTAAGATTGAAGACTTGCAGATGATAAGCTGGAGAAGGTTCAGAGAGACTGGTCCGATGAGCGCCTGATGCTTACAGAAATGTTATCAGAACTTCGTGTATCTCTTGCTTCCCAGTGCAGCTGGAAATAGCTTGCTAGCCTCTTCTCTCCAGAGAGATTGCAACAGCCCTAGAACTGCCTGGCACTTGAAAGGACATGGTGACATGCAAATTCTTCTTCTTTCCATTTCTTTTTTAAAAATAATAATAGCTGTGTGACCACTCTGGAGTCTGGGAGACTTGCAAAGCTACAACTGCGCCTTAGCCGAACTGCTGGCTCTTATAACATAAAAAGGAACTGATTTCTCCTGTTAGTAACAATACAAATGGGAACCAGGAGCGATTTCACTGAATGGAGTGAAATTAATTTGAAATTAATGGAATGTAATTTCCATTCAGTGTAGTTAACCTAGTGTAAAATTAGTGCTAATGAGATCAGCACTGGGGATGGGCTCTGGCTCAGAGCAAGAGCACATGTTTGTATGCAGAAGCCTCCAGGTTCAATCCCTCAGATCTCCAAGCAGGACTTTAAAAATATCTGAAAACCTGGAGAACCACTACTAGTCAATGCTGACAATAGTCAGCTTGGTATAAGGACATTTTCTCTCATCCTAGTCAGTTCCTCATAAGAAGCCAGTGATTACGCTATGGGTTGATTCTAGAGGTTAAAGGTTATGGGAATGTAGTCCCGTATTCAC